AAAAAAAAAATAAAAAAAATAGCACTTTTTCAATAGGACTGCCACTGAATATCTACTCAACCTTAATAATAATTTATACCCTTTATTAGGATTTAGGATGAAAAGTGCCACCAAATCTCCTTCTAAGCCCTCGACTGGATCATTTTCCATTTTCTTCTGAGAGAAAAATTGAAAAGTAAAACCCTTTTTGTCTGCGTAAAATCTCCGAGAAGAAGAGTGAAGGGGAAGAAAACAGCTTCGGAATTTCGATCCGATGGCCAACAGCAATTTACCGCGTAGGATCATCAAGGTATCATCCCGATCTTTCATTTGCAATCTCGATCTCTCTTTTGCTTCGACTTTAAAAACCTAAATTCTTAAGATTTTTTGTTTGGATCGGTTTCTTTTGATTACTTCAGCTGTGATTGTACTGTTTGGATTATTAATGTATTCCTTTATTGGTTACACAGGAGACCCAGCGTCTTCTTAGCGAACCAGGTAAATCCTTGGACTTCCACGCCCCCAAAATGATTTGTTGATTGAAGGATTACGGATGAATTCGTAATTTCTGAATTTTTTTGTTTTTCATTTTTTGTATGGCCTAGTTCAGTAATGTTCTTGTTGCAAATGAAGCTTGTTGGGTCAAATGTTTACTCATTTATCTATTTGTTTGTCGCTTAGATTAGACTGGGGATTCACCACTGGAACTCATTGAATTATGGTGATAATTTTTTGAGTTTGATGTGATTGAGCCATTTTTTATGTATGAATGCAGCTCCAGGAATAAGTGCATCTCCATCTGAAGACAATATGCGGTATTTCAATGTAATGATTCTTGGTCCCACACAGTCTCCTTATGAAGGTAAACAGAGCTCACAGTTCCTTTATGACTGCAGTAAGTGTCATTATAATAATATCTGCTTGTGCCCGTCTTCTCCCAATGTTTTGTGAACTGATGATATTTTGTCACTTATCATTGTTAACCATACTTTTCTTTTGTTGACTATTGGACTATCATTTATGTTGTTTCAGGATACTTTACCTATATTTCCAGTTGGTTTAGAGTCTTATTGGTATTAGAACTTCTTGTAGAATTGTATATGGGTTCAGAGGTACTCTACATGTAATGATTGAGATTCGTATAGTTTTGGCATTGAAGGCTTTGGTTCTTATATTATTCCGATCTTCAAAACATATAGTTTTAGATTCACAGAGTAGCTGAAAATTTTGCTATTAGATTGAGGTACAGGTCTACCATATTATTCCAATTTCTGATGTGTGAAGTTCATATAATTTACTATACCATCTTCTTTTCTTCTTGTAACTTAAGTGATGCAATTTAGACCTGTTTTATCTTGTTGGCCTTACTTACAGGTGGGGTCTTTAAGCTGGAGCTGTTTTTACCTGAAGAATACCCCATGGCTGCCCCGAAGGTAACTAATTTGATATTATGGATTTCTATAGCCACATACATAAGAACTCTCGGGGTACAAAATTCCAACAATTATTTGTTACATGCACCTCGGAAGTAGTGCTCTTATTGTTTTAGTGACATCAACTGTCTGTGCCTTTTCTATTAGAGTCATCTGAATGTTATTAACCAATACCCCTCAATGTTGTTCTGGGAAGACAAGACGCATTGTATGTTTTTGATTTATTTACAGTGGTACCGATATTTCAGGATTATAATATTCTTTGTGCCATGTTTGATACTGTTATTCTTGTAGTTGACATTTTGTATTGGTAATTTTTTAATATATTTGTTCCTGCTAGCCAGATATTTTCTGGTGAACCTTCATGTTTGCTTTGTCGCTTAAATAAGTTTGTGATAAGGCTGCCCTCCTGTACCATGCCAAGAATATCCATGTTCTTTCACCTAAAAGTATTAAACTATTATGCTTGCTGAGCTTTAATTTTCTAACTTCTACTCCTACCTTGCACTAATGATGGCTTAAATTCGAATATGCTTAATCCTTTAGCAAGTTCGCCGTCTCATTTTTGTTTTTAGTATTGAAAAATCTGCTAGTTTTTACGAACGTGTTTATCCTAGCCTGTAGCAGTCCACAGTTACCTCCCCCCTATCCAGCACTTGGATTGCAATTGATGACTTATGAACTTCCAAGGGTAAAAAGCCTGAATTTATTGAGCAACAAAATTGCCTGAACTGTTTTCATGCTGGGGTCCCTTTGGAAGGAGGTATATTTGGAAAGGCATATTCAGTTTGTTTCTTTCAACATCTTTGGTCAAATTATGTTGGAGGTTCAAATTGTTTAGCTCAGTTGTTCCTCTGAAAACACACTCTAGTTATGGGTTTATACCTATTGAACCGAACATTTGAGTCTGTGGTCTCAAGATTCCATTGTAGGTTCTTCAAAGCATTAGCTGCAACTTGGGGAAAACCATACAGTAATTATTTGGCTTCTACAAGGACCTGTTTTAGATTTTTATGCCGATATTTTAAGCCAGTGAACTGAAAGTAGCATTGCCTTGAAGCAGGAGTTATACACTGAGAAACTTAAAAGTTTTTCAGTTGTAAAATTGTGTTTCTGTAGATAAAAAAACATACCTAACTGTTTTCAATCCAATTCCTGACAGGTTCGCTTCCTTACAAAAATCTACCACCCTAACATTGATAAGGTATGCTATCCCTAGTTTTGATACCTTGCTTTCATCTATGCATCTATACTGATAAAAATGAATTGCAGCTTGGAAGGATATGCTTAGATATTCTCAAGGACAAATGGAGTCCCGCACTTCAGATCAGAACTGTACTTCTGAGGTAACTCAAAATGATTCAAGTTTTCCCCATATGGCAAGTTCAATGAATGCTTCTCCTTGCAGTCTTTGATTATCTCTTTTTTTTCGAATTTTTTATTTATATTATTCTGTTGCTTGTTTTAGCATACAAGCACTTTTGAGTGCTCCAAATCCGGATGACCCACTCTCTGAAAACATTGCGAAGCATTGGAAATCAAATGAGTCTGAAGCTGTCGAAACTGGTGTGCTTTATTTTTCAATTCTA